TGATCTTTTCGTTAAATATGGGTCTGAATTGGATTGAGTTTGTATTAAAAGAAAAAAAGAAATTTGTTGGGGGCGATTAAAACGAGTTCAGAGTTGATATTCTAAAATTTGTTCAAACCTAACATGTTATGTATATATATTAATTTTTTATTACTCTAAATATATTTATATTTATACAAATAAATAAGATATGTTATATCAATAAATATAATTATATTTTAATTTTTATTAATGTAAATATAATATATTATATTAATAAAATAAAATAATCAGATTGAGTTCGAATTAGATAACTCATAAATTCAATGTAGTTCAGAAAAACCTAAAAAGATTCAATTTGAATTGGATAATTTGTAAATTCAACATGGTCCAGAAAAACTAAAAAGTTTAAACCTACCCCAAATTTGAAGTGTATTCGGATTTATTTTTGTAACGACCGGTCGAATTCAGGTTCAATAAATCCGTTCTGTTACCATCTCTGTTTGCAAGTACAGCTGATTGGTAATTGATCCAAAAATATCTCATGTAGTTTCGAGCTTGCCTCATTAACTGTGTTGGAAGTCAGAGGATTCCACCACCATGTTAAGCTCCAAAGGAATCTTCTAATGAAATCCCTAAACTACCCCTCCAACATTCTGTTGAATAACTATTTAAGACCCGAATTATCCAGGTGTCGAAATGCTATTGGTTTGTCATTTGAAATAATGACCACCTCAACAGAGAAGATATAAACTCCCAAAACCCTAACCCTTTTGTTCCTTCACGCACTCCACTCCTCACCGTATACAAAAGAGAGGGTAAGTGCTAGGGTTTTAGCTAATCCTCAAAAGTGAGAGAGATTTTGAGGGTTGGGGTTAGAAGTTTTTGGTGCGTACAACGGAGAGAGCGAAAATGGTGGCAGATAAGAGCAAGAAGGTGAAGATAGTGGAGAAAACGGAGGAAGAAAACGCAGAGCCTATCGATGGAGACCTCGTTCTTTCTATCGAGAAGCTTCAAGAGATCCAAGATGAGCTTGAAAAGGTGAACTAGTAGTTGTACGTTTATGTGTTCATCTTTTTTGGGGCTTTCAATTTTTGTGTTTTTTCCCCTTCTGTCTTCTTCTCTGTTTGCCTAATGAAAAATTTCATGGACATTAAGTTAGTAATTCTGGTATCGATTTATGCCTCGTGTTGTTGAGTTTTGTTATTCTAAATGAAACTGTCTCTCGTTTTTGCACAATAGTTGTGCAGGGATTGGTTTGAGTTGAAGAATTGTTGCATTGGATAGATTATAATTCAATTGGTTGGACAATGTCTTGTCTTCTGTTAGTAACCAAAATGGGCAACCTAGAGAGTAATAGACTGTGTGAAAATTTCCGGATCAATGTTTATGTTTCTGTGGCGGAGAAATTGTAGAATAACTGTTTTAAATGCGTGATAATTGCCTTAGCAGATGTGTTTTCTCTTACTATGTTGTTAAATAACTTTTCTTGTGAATATTTAAAGACCGATCCCCTTCTTTTCTCATTGCTGCATGTGTTCCACTATCATTTGAGGTAGATTTATTGCAAAATCTGTTTCTCTTTTCGTGCAGACTAAATTAGGGTTCATTAGGTTTAATTCTTTTGCTTAATCACAGTTTTGGAATGATTAAGCATTCATTGTGGTGATGGCTTAGTTCAGTACCAGTTAGCTATTTGTAGTGTTGTGCATCTGGGTGAACCAAGTATGATTCTTTTGGAAATCATTTTCCTAATTCTCAATTTGGCCATGATTAGTTACGCTTAGGATTTGGTTTTGGCTATTTTCTGTTAAAATTTAGAGATGAGTTATGCAACCAAAATTTCTTGTTTTACCTTATCACGCTGATATATAGCCACACATCCACTTCTACCTGTAACAATATTGCTCTTCATATTTTAATGACTAATGTACTTATCAGCTTGCCAGTGAAATTCCAACTTTTTTAACTGTTTGCTCTTTTGCTTCTGTTGCATTTATGTCTTGTAGATCAATGAAGAGGCTAGTGACAAAGTCTTGGAAGTGGAACAGAAATACAATGAAATACGCAAGCCTGTCTATGATAAGCGGAACGATATCATCAAATCAATTCCAGACTTTTGGTTAACTGCTGTAAGTTTCTGTGATTAACTGGTTTTTTGAAATTTATCAGCTGTTGAATTGACATGTGACCTGCTTCTTGTTCTCTGCAGTTTTTGAGTCATCCTGCTCTTGGTGAACTTCTGACAGAGGAGGATCAAAAGGTTTGGACTTGTTTCAGTATGATCCAAAAGATTAGTTATTTCATCTATATATTATTTAAAATATTTGATTTGCTTGCAACAATGAGCTGCAGTAAATTATTTTGTTCTTTCTCACCATAAACTGAAATATTATCTGGTAGTTATATTCTTCTGGTTAGATATTGCCATATTAGTAAAACTGCTTGACTACTTTTAATGTCATAGATATTCAAGCATCTAAACTCTATGGAAGTGGAGGACTTTAAAGATGTGAAATCAGGATATTCTATAACATTTGTGAGTTAACTTGCTCCTCTGCTTGCTTAATATTGTCAACAGTTCTCTCATCTACCTTCTTCTAATTGCATTTAAAGCTTGAAGATACGCGTCTGATCATCCACTTATTGTTTTTTTTCATTTTGCATATATTCTAACTTTTCAGAACTTCAACCCCAATCCTTACTTTGAAGATACAAAGCTTACGAAAACATTCACCTTCCTTGATGAAGGGACAACGAAAATTACTGCTACATCAATCAAGTGGAAAGAGGGCATGGTAAGAACTCAATTTCTTTTGTCAGGCTATCTTTCAGCAAGCCTGATTTAGTTTTGTGTTTTTTCTTTCTTCTAAAAAATGTATATAAAAAAACAAAATGTAAAAGCTGAATTTGTTTTCAATTAAAACCTGTTCAGTTGCTTTACATCTTAACTATTTTCTTTTTACATCTTTCATTATAATCAATCATACATTTAATTATAATTAAAGAATGGCAAAGTGAGAATGATATTTCCAGAAAAGATACTTTCCTTAAAACAGTTCCTAAAATCTTATTTTCTGAAAGCATTCACAAAAAACATGTCTTCTTAGCAGATAACTGTTTCTCTCCTTTTTTTAAGGATAAATATACAGCTTTTAAAAGCCATCATTAGCGAGCATTCTCTTTTTCTTTCTTATATTCATGAAATTTTCTCAACTGCATAGGGCTTGCCAAACGGTGTTAATCATGAGAAGAAGGGGAACAAACGACCATTGACTGAAGAGAGGTTGGTTTCTTCTACATTTAGGTGCAGAAAGTGAAACTAGTCGATTTTGTTACTTCAGTGGTCTTTCTATCCTCTATGAAGGCAAACCTTAGGGCTTTCCAGAAGAACTCAAAATTAGCCCCCCAAAATATTAATTAATAGGTCTTCTGACATTGTTTTCATTTGCTGTGTTGTGTTCAGCTAGGGACTAAAACTTCTAATTGATGGTTCATTAGGCTCATTCCTGTGACTATTGCTAAGCTTAATTATGGGTTTTGTTTACATTTTTAGAGTAACAAAAATGTGCTGGGCCATGTAAGAGAACAACTATCAGATGAAAGGAATTCAATATGTGCAAAATGTTTTTTAGATGTGTTTTAGTTTTAATTTTTATAGCCCATCGTCCTTGACCTTTTTTTTGAGAGAATTCTGTCCAATTGACCCTAATGTTCATATTATGGTAATGGCATCAGTACTTGTGTGCATTTAGCGTCCTCTGAATTAGTGTTAGTTTGGTGTTGCTTGCTTTTTCTTAAAGTTGTTTTCAGAGTATGTGCTGTAACTTACAATTTATAATGCTTACTAGATTAGCAGAATCGTTTTTCAGTCTTATTTGTTATCATCATTGCTATATTGTTGCATGCACTGGTTTCGATTTCAACTTGTACACATAATGTGCCCCACACGTGCTTCAATGGTTTAAATTTTTATGGCCCGTGCTCTTCCTTTACCATTTTTTAAGATGGTTATGTCTGTAGAACTTAATGGTCATATTATGGTCATGGCTTCTATATACACGTGTAACTAATATTATTAAGATGTGCTCTTAGGGTGTTAATTTTTTTGGTGCACACTCTGTTTTAAAGTTGTCCTTTTCACATTGAGTGACTTGCAATCTATAGATACGTACTGCAATTAGCGGAACAGTTTTCCCATCTTATTTGTTCTATTCTTTGTTATATATTGCATGCATTGGTTACAATTCAGAAGAAGAAAATGATATATTTCATTTGAGAAAGTATATGTGCAGAACTTTATGATATTGATGGATATATGTAAGATCATTCAAACATTAAATATAATCTGGACCAACTATAAAGTTTTGACATATGTTTGATTTTGGGCCTTGAAACTGACTTAATTTTATGGTTATCAATTCAGTTTCTTTAGCTGGTTTAGTGATACTCAACAAAAAGATATTGATGATGACATACATGATGAGGTAAGTTTTTTCCACTATGTGCTGATTTATTTAGAGTTACATGTTGCGTGGTGCAGGGGTTTTCTTTTTCTTGCTGATTGTTTTCTTTTTCTTGCTGATTACAAGTTTTATTGCCTGATTGCAGGTTGCAGAGATCATCAAGGAAGATTTATGGCCCAACCCTCTCACTTATTTCAACAATGTAATATTTTGTTCCTTTTCTCTCATAATGCTTTAGGCACAACTGCAGGCCTTGCTTGTCGCTTGAGTCCCCCCCCCCACCCCCCCTCCTCTTCCTCCTCTCTCTTCCAGTAGTAATTGATGGTTTGTTCGTTGTAGGATGCTGATGAAGAGGATTTTGAAGGGGATGAAGCTGAGGAAGAGGTACAAAATTCTAATGTGCTTTTAGAAAGCTGTTTCACATGTCTCTTTTTTGCATTAATCATATAAAATGCCTCTTTAAAAGTATAATGTTTTCTGTAGGCCTATCTGTGGTTCTCATGGTCTGACTTTGAGGCTTTCTTTATTCTTGACTTTATTAAAGACTTATATATATGCGGATATATATATTTATATATATTTCATTTTTTATATAGTCAAAAATTTGTTATCTTCTGGCAAGATAGACTGGCATCTGTGATGAGAGTATACTTGATATGATGATAACTGTGTTCCAGTTTATACTCTCTCAATTTCTTTCATTAGATGAGTAATAGATAAATTAGCTTGAGTTCAGCCAATTTTGCAGTGTGACTGAAGTTTACAATTGTTTGAATTTCGGCCATTATTACAACTTGAATACATTCTGCTGAAATTTTGGTGTTGTTGTTAATTAATAAGAGTATATATTATGCCCTCAGATTGTTTTGCACTAGTATCTGTTCTTTTCTTCTTTGATACTGCACTGTCAAAAGTAATTTTTATTGTTGAATGTTATGTCCTGAGAAAATAGTAGTTGCATCTAAATGACAACTTGTGCATGAATATGAATTTGGGATGTTCATTGCGGGAGCCCATTGATAGCCTTGGAAATTTTGTGAGTTCAGCAAGCTGGGTTGCTTTGCAACGAGATTGTTACTGTGCTGAAAACAGTTGTCTGAATAATTTGAACCACTGACAGGGGAAGGAAGATGATTCTGAAGATGACGATCACGAAGATGACGATGAAGATGACGAAGAAGATGGAGAGGATGAATGAAACTAAACTGTCATCATCCAGTTATTAGCGATGGTGCTTTGATAACAGATGTGTAAAGTCGTCTCTAGAGGTTGCTTACGGTTATAGAGGAGTCGACCATGTTTGACTCTTACCCTTGGTAGCTATAAAGGCTGCTAGCCACTGCTATCTTGGTCGGGCCAGTAGTTCTGACTATTTTATTTAATCCGAAAGGTTTTCTTTTTGTTTTCTTTTACCTTTCTTTTTTCCTTTTCTCTTTCAGTGTTCTATTATGGTGCTATATTTATGGGTTTCTTCCTCCTTAACATGAATGTTCCTAGATGATAAAATGTTATATTGGCTTCTTATTCTACATGAGAGCTTATTAAACCGCGATGTATTGTCAATGGTGCCCTAGAGTTTGTTGGGTATGGCAGGGTTCAACTTATCAGGCCATTTAGGTTCTCCTCTGGGGGATCCTGTTAATTATGAAATGTAGTTTTAGTGTTGACAGTCTAATGAACCTGGTATGTGGACCTTATCGCATTACCAAGAGCACTATGAGAGTTGAATTGATTCCTGAAAATCTTAAGATGTTATATTTACACAATTATGACATTACTTAACTCGGAGCTAGTCTCCATTTTCTGTTGATCTCCAAATCTTACATACTAGAAACACTCTCCAGATTTGATGACTAATTTTTATTTTTCTCCCATCCGTGTTTTCTCTTTCAACGCTTTGATAGACTTTTCCACATCGTTTGTTGTCTTCTTCTGAGTGAGAGAAAAGAGACATGAAGAAAAGGAGAAGAGAGAATGAATGTGTTTGGTGGGTGAGAAAATGAGAGAAAGATGGAGATATAAAGTAAAAAGGAATAAGATTGTGATTACATTTTTTCTTCTTTTCTGAAAATTTTTCTGATTTTGATATGAATAATCTAATAATAAAAATATATAAGAAGTTTATGGATTGAACTGAATACAGATCTGATATCAGAATTTATTTAAATAATTTGCACAGTGTAGAAATATTTAAAAAAAAAAAAAGAAATAAATTTTAATTTTAACACATTTAAAGGTCAAAAGAAACGAAAAAAAAAAAAACTGATTTAAATAATTATTAATATTAATAACCAAAAAGTTTGTGCAGAATTTGGGGAGTGAGGGACAGAGTATCAAGTGATTCATTCAGTGCAGTGGTCAACTAAGTAGTAAGCCTCGTTGGAAAAAAGTTTCTTTAAGTTGGGACTTTTTAGGCATTCTATTTTTTCTTTTCAATTTTTATTTTTATTTTTAAAAAACTAATTTCTTGGTATCTTGTTTTTTTTTTTCTTGATGTATTTGTATAAAAAAAAAAAAAAAACTTAATTAAGGAATGGTTAATATCTAATTTATTAAAAATTTAAATTATTTAATCTGGTAAATAAATTGGCTAATTGCATGAAAAATATTTTAACATTAAAATATATGAATACGAGAATAAAATTACAGACATGATAAATATTTAAATAAAAATAATATTAAAATTTTAATATGTCTAAATTACAGGAAAAAAAATTCATATCTGAATTAAATTAGGTTTTTTATGTGATTCATTTCGTAATAAATTAAAATGATTGCAGGTTTATCATTATTAAATATAAGTACATTTTATCCAATTAGATATTGAATATATAAAATTATGAATGCCATCAGGAGAGAAAGAAAGAGGACTAGCAATCATACACGGTCACCTAACAGCATCCCCTTGGCCTGCTCCTTGTAATTTGATTGCTTCACCCTCTGTTAATTATATATATATATACACACACACACACACATTGTATGTATAGTGCATTACAAGACAAAACACAATTGTGAATAGGGTACCCCTCCATTGCCGGCAATCGATGTTTAGTCAAATCTCATACTTCCCATTAACAAGGATTAGTTGGTAAAAAACAAAGATATTTTTTATCTTCTTTACAGCACTCAAACAGTAAAATTATGAATCCACACCATGCAATATTTACACTTCAATTATACTTTTACAGGAAAAAACTTAATCCCAATATGGAAAAATTTAGTCTGTAAATACCCTCTAAAATTACAATCTTCCCACACTTATTTCGGATAAAAATTTATATATTTTATTAATAATGCGACATGAATATAAAATATAAAACAATATCTCAATACAAACATACGAGGAAAAAGTACCGTCTAACTTAAATTTACAATTTTTTATAAATTAAAAAAATTAAAAATTATTGAGTGAAAATTGATATAAGTTTTAAATTGACAGCTGGTGGAGAGTTGAATTAGGTCCATGGCTCCAGCTATTCACAGTCAATTTATATTTCCATATACTAATATGGTAGAGGGTAAGGTGTCTACTTCAATAGGAAAAATACATAAGTAGCAAAGGCATGTGGTCTCATAAAAGGCAACATATAGATACACGTATGCATATATGGGTATGTACATATATATATAATCAAATTGGTCCTACGGCTGATGTCTTGTAGGACAGTAAAAAAAAAAGAGAGGAAAGAAAGAAAGAAAGAAAACAGAAACTATTAGATCCATTCATCCTGCTGGCATTATCTATTTATGTGTTTTCAATTGACCTTGCTTACCTATTTATTCACCATAGATTTCATTAAATTTTTGTTTATATATATTTATTTGACTTTGTAAAAAATAAAAAATAAAAAATCTGTCAATATTTCTAATTTAACATTCTTGTTTCGAAATATTTCATCCACAAAGTTCGGAATAGATTGATGTTGTTCCTCTACGCCTAAAATGTTAGAATATGAAACAACGATTTTGTATATTTGAGTTGGAGATTTGAAAGAGGATATCTATAAAAAAAATTAAGAATAAAATCATGATGTCTTTTAATATATTTTACTTGTTATCATTTAGTAAGGTTCTTTCATCATATTGCCCAATATGAAGTGAGTTATGGATTGATATGTCAAACCTAATATTATTTATATATATATATATATACACACAATATGATTAGTTTATTTAATTAATATTATTTAACTAAAAACTTATTTCTAACTTAAATAATGTCTTTAAATAAATTAAGTATCATTAATCATAATCATATAGAACATACACTCCCTCATAAGAGTGATGAATCTCTTTGTTGGCATCCTCTCATTTTTCTTAGCTTTAAACCATACATAATGATTACATCTTTATAGTATATATATATCTATGTATGCTAGTAGCATCAACCACACTAGTGAAGTTTGGATTCTTATTACCTTTGATAGTAAATTAAACACTTGAGTTTATGTTACTCACTCGTTTTATTTTATTTTGTTCTACACGACTCTCCTTTCGATAGTCTCTTTCTATAAACACAATTAAATTTAATTTTTTTTTAACTATTTTATAAAGCATATTAAAAAATAAAAATGATCTCTCTTATGAATAAACTTCTCTATTTGTGAATCGGATTATAGTAGTTATTAATTTCGTAATCTATATTTAGAGTTACTTCTAACAAATGTGTATAAGTCAAAGCAACCATGAATATAAATAATTGTATATTTAAATAGAGATATAAATATTATTTAGATAAAAATATTTTAATTCTATATTATAATTTTATCTATATGCTTGTATATGAGGGGCCAATATTCATTCATATGTGTGTGTGTGTGTATATATATAGATATTATAGCTAACTATTTTTTTTTTCCTCTCTTTTTATTGGTGTAAATTATTTATTTATTGTCTTTTCTTTCCAATTAATAGTTTATATGATTTGAACTAAATGAATAATTATTTTAAATTTTTGAATAAAATTATTCATTTAGTTTTTAGTGTTGAGATTACAGGAAATATAACTTAATTTTTTAATTAATAAATTTCCTTCACGAGTACTGTATATTAATTAATAAATTTGAGTAAATTTTGTTTTTTTTTTCAAAAAAATTATATTCCAATCAAATATGATACTAATTATTTTTAGAATAAAAAATTTATATTTGTAGGAAGAAATTAAACTCCAAACTTTTTTATCTTCCAAAAGTTCAAATTGGATTTCATTTATATATTAGTTGATTAATTAAAACTCTAATCCCCATGATAATTGAAAGTAACCCAACCCAACCCAAAGCTCTTTTTTTTTTTTTTTTTTTTTTTGGGTGCCCCTTTTATCACATGGTTAAGTCAATATAGTTAGATTTCAACAAAAAAAAGAGAATTTATTTACAAAACCCATTTAACTCACAAATTAAAATCAACATCACAAAACTTTTAACGACAGAAGAATATATGTACATGTATTAAGGAAAACAAAACAAAGAGAACCCGGTAGTGAAATAAGAATTCCAAAGTGGTTAGGCATACAGATATGTATGGAGGAGGAAAACTGTACAAGTCAAGGGGAGTGAGATGTTGGCAATGATTAAAGAGAAATCTGATACATTATTTTCAAAATGTCCTTTACCTTGACATCATCAGCTGCCATAATATATGAATAAATATTGTTTATACACTTTTAAGCCTGGTGTACTAATTAACAATTAAATCCAGATTAATACTAATTAATTACTTGAATGAGAGAGAGAGAGAGGGTAGAGTGGGTGGG